AGCGGGCCCGGGGGTCTCCGGTGTGTCCTCGCCCGCGCTCGCCCTCATCCCCGGGCGTTCCTCCTGGATTTCGGCCTCCGGTGCCAGTCGGGGGCGGCAAAGAGGGGGGTGATGACTGGGGGGCGGTGGATATCATGGTGGGGGCCGTGATATTTCCCCAGATTTCACGGCGCCTCTTCCTTCTTCATTACGTCCCTGGTCCCCCCGCTTGGCCGCGCACATGCCGCCGGCCATGATTTGCACCCCCCTCTTGGACACCCCCCTCCTGGCCGCTCCCGAGCCAGTTGTCGGGCCCTGGGGCCATCGAGAAACTACACCCCGTCACGCACGCCATCCCCTCCACCCGTGGCGCGGAGGGGTTGGCGCGCTCATCCTCCTCCTGCGCGCCCCACTTTGGACTCTCCTTCGTGGGCTTGCCAAGCTGGCCACCCCCGCTCGAGAGCTGGCGCCATTTCCCTCCGCGTGCTGCTACACCTCGCAGCGCGCTGCCGAAATGACAGCGACGAGGCCCGTGACCCACCGTAGGCCTCAATCCCGCCCCCCTGGCGCCCCTCAGAGCGGCACGCGCAGCCGCGCAGCGCATGCCGGACCACCGGCGTCTGTCTGGGACACGGGGGAGGTGGAGGAGGAGGAGGAGGAGGAGGAGGCAGAGCAGGAGAAGGAGGAGGGACGGAGGAGGAGGAGGAGGAGGAGGAGGAGGAGGAGGAGGAGAAGGAGGAGGAGGAGGAGGAGGAGGAGGAGGAGGATGAGGAGAAGGAGGAGAAGGAGGAGGAGGAGGAGGAGAGGAGGAGGAAGAGGCCACCAGGCCGTCTCGCTAGCGACGGCGGCACCGCCGCACGCCAGAGCAGAGGCCCCCTACGGCCCCCCACGGTTACCGACGGCCTCCGTTCTTACCAGGCCATCGCTCCTATCTCACCCCGGGCGCTTGCCGCATACCTGATTCACCCCTCTTCGGTTATACCGACCTCCGACCAGCCCGTGCCGCCTCCTGGGGACACCCGCCCCAGACTCAGACTGCCCCTCGGCGCTGCTGCGTCCTCCGTCTGCACCTTCGGTGTGCGCCACCAGGTGCAATACCCGTGCAGTCTGGGACCTGTTACACGGTCTATGGCAAGCATCGTCGCGTGAGGGCCCTTGGCTGTGTCCAGGGGCCCAGCTTCCCTTGCACTGAGGCCTTCGGACCTTTTCCGCATTCGGTCCTCTACGGGGGCTGTACACCCCCACGTGCGCCGATGGGTGGCAGGGCCCCTGCATTTCCCCTGCTCCTGCTGGGCCCCCTCGCTGGCGGTGCCTCCTGACGCCGTTGGCGCGGGGCGGGGCCTAGCCGGGGGCGGCCGTGCTTGCACGGCCGCCGGTTCTCGGGTCCTGTCGCCCTCAGGCTCAGGCGGGGGACCCCTAAGCACCCCCTTTGCTGGGGTGGGCCGCTTGCGAATGTGGTCTCCCCGGCCTTTCCGGGCCAGCGTCCCTTGTGAACGCCCGGCCAGCCGGTCCACGGCCCACGCATGGGCCGCCGATGGGGATGCCCCAATGCGGTGCCATCCTTTCCCAGGACTGGGGCGCGCACGCCAAGGCGCGCTGAAAGTCGGAGCCTCCCTGCAGCTTGGGCGTGCAGAGGGGGCGTGCCACGCTCTCATCGCCACGCCCTTTAGTTTTGTCAGTCAGGGCCCCTTTTGACCGCGCGAGGGGGAGGATTTTGCCGAGGGCGTCGATGCTTATTCGCCCGGGTTGGTTTTCGCCCGGTGCGTTTCGCCCGGTTCGTTTCGCCCAGGTTTGCTTTCGCCCAGTTGGCTTTCGCCCGGGTTGGCTTTCGCCTGGGTTGGCTTTCGCCCGGGTTGGCTTTCGCCCGGGTTGGCTTTCGCCTGGGTTGGCTTTCGCCAGGGTTGGCTGTCGCCAGGGTTGGCTGTCGCCTGGGCTCGTTTTTGCCTGGGTTCCCGCGTCCATCAGGAGCGCGGGCGACGGGCATGGATCCCGGGAGAGGGCCGCGGGCCGGAGGAGGACAGGAAAGGCAAGACCCCGAGGGGAACGGAGGAGGGCGACCAGGAGGGGCACGGGAGGACGGGCCTCGTTGTCGTAGTCGTCGTCGTCGTCGTCGTCGTCATCGTCGTGGACGTCGTCGTCGTCGTCGTCGTCGTTGTGATATTGTCGTGGTGGTGGTCGTCGTCGTTGTCTTAGCCGTTGTCGTCGTCGCCGTACTCGCCGTTGTCGCTGTCGTCGTCGTCGTCCTCCTGGTCGCCGTCGTTGCCGTCGTCCTCGTCGTGGTCGTTCTCGTCGTAGTGGTCCCGCCGGTCAGGGTCCGCCCGCCCGACCCGACCCGCCCGTTAGGGTTCGCGCGTGCTGAGTCGAGCGCGCCCCACACTTTAGTGCCCCGCCTGCCCGACCCGACCCGCGTGATAGCGTCCGCCCGACCCGACCCGACCAGTCCCGCCCGTTAGGGCCCGCCCGCCCGACCAGACCCGCCCGTTAGGGTTCACGCGTGCCCACTCGAGCGCGCCCAATACTTTAGTGACCCGACCCGCCCGTTAGGGTCCGCCCGAACCGACCCGACCCATCCCGCCCGTCAGGGTCCGCCCGACCCGATCCGACCTGCCCGTTGAAGTTCACGCGTGCTCGCTCCAGCGTGCCATACACTTCAGTGCCCCGCTCGCCCAACCCGATCCGCCCGTTAGGGTCCGACCGCCCGAGCGGACCCGCCCGTTAGGGTTCACGCATGCCCACTCGAGCGCGCCCCACACTTTAGTGTCCCGCCCGCCCGACCCAACCCGCTCGTTAGGGTCCGTCCGACCCGACCCGACCCGCCCGTTAGGGTCCGCCCGACCCGACCCGACCCGCCCGTTGAAGTTCATGCGTGCTCGTTCCGGCGCGCCCAACACTTTAGTGTCCCGCCCGCCCGACCCGACCTGCTTGTTAGGGTCCGCCAGACCCGACCCGACCCGTCCCGCCCGTTAGGGTCCGCCTGCCCACCCGACCCGCCCGTTAGGGTTCACGCGTGTCGCTCGGGCGTGACCCACATTGTAGTGCCCCGCCCGCCCGACCCGACCCGCCCGTTGGGGTCCGCGCGGCCCGACCCGACCCGTCCCGCCCGTTAGGGTCCGCCCGCCCGACCCGACCCGCCCGTTAGTGTTCACGCGTGCTCGCTCCTGCGTGCCCCACACTTTAGTGTCCCCCCCGCCCGACCCGACCCGCCTGTTAGGGTTCACGCGTGCCCGACCCGATCCGCCCCGCCCTTGTAGGGTCCGCCCGCCCGACCCGACCCGCCCGTTAGGGTTCACGCGTGCTCACTCGAGCGCGCCCCACACAGTGCCCCGCCCGCCCGATACGACCCGCCCATTAGGGTCCACCCGACCCGACCTGACCCGTCCCGCCCTGTATGGTCCGCCCGCCCGCCTTGACCCGCGTGTTAGGGTCCGCCCGACCCCACCCGACCCGTCCCGCCCGTTAGGGTCCGCCCGCCCGACCAGTCCCGCCCGTTAGGGTTCACGCGTGCCCACTCGAGCGCGCCCCCACACTTTAGTGTCCCGCCCGCCCGACCCGACCCGCCCGTTAGGGTCCGCCCGACCCGACCCGACCCAACCCGCCCGTTAGGGCCCGCCCGCCATACCCGACCCGCCCGTTAGGGTTCACGCGTGTCGCTCGGGCGTGACCCACCCACACTTCAGTGCCTCCGCCCGCCCGACCCGACCCGCCCGTTAGGGTCCGCGCGGCCCGACCCGACCCGTCCCGCCCGTTAGGGTCCGCCAGCCCGACGGGACACGCCCGTTAGGGTTCACGCGTGGGCCCACGCGTGCTCAGCCGAGCGCGCCCTCACAGTTTAGTGTCCCGCCCGCCCCGACCCGCCCGTTAGGGTCCCCGGATTTGTTTACGCCGGCGGCTCTCTCGGGTCCGCAGTCGTTCCGAAGGTATCTTGGCGCGAGGGCCGTCCCGGCCCCCCTGCGGCCGACCCCGGCCCACAAAAACCTACCGTTTTGTTTTTCCTGGGCGTCGGAGGTCTCGGCGCGCCCCCTTCCGCCACAGCTTCCCCTACCGCCGCCAATGCCCCCACCAGCTGCGACCGCCACCACGACCGCTGGCCGCTTCCGGGGGCGAAGAGAAACAGATAAATTGCTCAGAGGGGACAAGAGACATAGATACCCCATCATCCATTCATCGCCGATTAGCGCCAGAGCGCCCCTTCCAGGAACGCGCGGCTTCCCTGTCTGGGGGCTTATCGCCAACCTGTCGGCGATGTGTCAACTATTCTGGAGCATCCCGCACCTCCCTGAGCCCCCCCCCGCGCGTCTCTTCGCCCCTTTCGCTTGGGCAAACGGCGCGCCTCAAGGGCTCCCAGGGGTCACGACGGCGGCGGCGACGGCCACGCCAGCGGCAACGGCGCCTGCTCCCCGCCCGGCCCCTGCGAAAGCCAACCCCGTCGAAAGCCAACCCCGGCGAAAGCCAACCCGGCGAAAGCCAAACCCGGCGAAAGCCACCCCCCGGCGAAAATCAACCCCAGCGAAAGCCAACCCCGGCGAAAGCCAACCCCGGCGAAAGCCAACCCCGGCGAAACGAAGCCCGGCGAAACGAAGCTCGGCGAAAGCCAACCCCGGCGAAAGCATCCGTGCCGAGGTTCCCCCCCTGTTTGTTGAGCGGCGCCTTCCGCAGGTGCGAGGATGGCCTGGGTGGCTCCAGTGCCCGCCAGGCCTGAACGTCCGTGTCCGAATTGATGCGAGCTTCCTCTCTCTCGCTCTCTCGCTCTCTTTCTCTCCCTCTCTCCCGCTCTCTCTCTCTCTCTCTCTCTTTATGTCTTTCCTTCTCTCTCTCACTCTCTCTCTCTCTCTCTCGCTCTTTCTCTCTCTCTCTCTCTTTCTCCATTTCTCCCTCCCCCTCTCTCTCCCTCTCTCTCTCTCTCTCTCCCTCTCTCTCTCTCTCTCTCTCTCTCTCTCTCCCTCTCTCTCTCTCTCTTTCTCTCCCTCTCTCTCTCTCTCTCTCTCGCTCTCGCTTTCTTTCGTAGTGCGCCATGCCCAGAATCCGCAATCCCTCCTCCCACCTCCTCTTCCTCACGTCTGCGGCCTCGGCCGTCTCGCCTCCGCATGTGATCTCCATCCTCCCAGACGGCCTCTGCAGACCCTCACGAAAGAAGACGGACGGACTCTCTCTCTGAGCGGCTAATTACGGCCCCACCGCCGTCCTCTCCAGGAGGCGCCCCGCGCGCGCGGAGTGGAGTCGGCGCTCGCATCGCATCGCCTCGCCCCCTCCCGCGCCCTCCGACGAAACCTTCGAGATCCTCCAGACAAGGGAGGAGAGAGGGGGGGCGCTGGCAGTTCTGACCCTGGGGGGAGGCGTGATCCATGGGCTCAGGAGCGTCCTGGTTTTGCTCCTCCTCCTCCTTCTCCCTTCCTTTCTCCCTATCTTCTCTTCATGTTCCTTGTCCTTAGTCGTCGTCGTCGTCGTCGTCGTCATCCCGTTTCCTCCTCGCCCTTCTCTTCGTCATCCTCATCTGCCTTTTCTTTCTCCCGTCTCCTGGTTGGGCGTCGTTTTCTTCTTCTGGCGCATCCGGACCCCCCAGAAATTTCCAACGAACAGCAAAGAGTTGCTGAACGTTCGCGAAACACTTCGCAAACCTCGTCGTCGTCCTCCTCCTCCGCCCCCTCCTCCTCCCTCCTGTCTCGTCAGTCTTGCTTGTGGTCCTGCGCTATCAGTACCTCCGTATGCAGCCTGTCCCGTCGGTTGGGCCCCCCGCGGATTTGCGACGATGATTGATATATTTCTCATCCTGTGCTTCCTCCTCATGCTCACCAGCCGCCGTTCGTCCTACTTCTCGCTCATGTAGCCTACTCCTCATCACACATCGCTCCTCCTGCTCCTCCTTCTGCTCTTACTCATTCCTCATCCTTCCTCGTCGTCCTCATCCGCCGTCTTGTCCTCGTCCTCATGTTCCCCCCTTCCTCCTCCCCTGTTGCACGAGTTGCTCGTCCAACTGGTGTTCGCGGCGCTCCCTGTGTCGCCGTGCCCGCAGGCGTTCAGCTGCGGGCGTTTTTTGCCGCGCAGCGCAGGGCCATCAGCGGTGGGCGCATGAGGAGACGGACGGGCGACCCCGCCGCACCACGTGGCGACGGCGACGACCCCAACGAGGGCAAGAAGCCTTCTCTGCGGAAGCTGCTGGAGTACCGCGCAGACCCCAACTCGTTCACGTTCGAGGACAAGGGGCCAAAGAGAGACCAACACGCTTTTCTCCGATCAGCGCCTGCCCTGGACGGATCATCGCGACTGCTGGGAGAATTTGGTGGAAGTGTGTTGCTGATCTCAACGGGCAGTCGGGCTCCTGGGCTCATGATTCCCAGCTTCCCAGTTCCTTGGCTCGTTGGCTTTACAGTTCCGCCAAGGTTCCCTGGCCTTCGAAAGCAAAGACATTTGAAACATCATTGACTTTAAGAGTGAAGGGTATAGCACAGAGTATAGAGTACAGAGCAGAGTGCAGAAAATATCAATGAGTATAGGGTGGTGAGGGCAGGGTTGAGAGGCGAGCGAAAGCAGAGGGCGGAGGGTAGATAATGAGTGAGAGCGGAGGGTAGAGATCACATGTAGAGAAGGGGGAGGGTGAAGAACAGAGAGTAAAATGCAGTTGCAGAAAGCAGGGACTTGAGAGACCCTCCCACTCTTGCCCGCCACAAGCATGCTGACTTTGCGTGCAATGTGCGCACAACTAATTCTGTTTCCTATGGTGTAGATCGAGGCGTCATTCTGAAATGAATTGTATTGCGAGGTGCTTACGGCAGGTGGCGTCCACCCTGAAGGGGGACGACGGCGACGACGCGGGCGGCGGCGACGACGACGGTCACGTGGGTCGGAGTCCTCAGGGATGCTTCTTTGGGTCTCTTCGGTGCGCTCTCGGGGGCCTGTGGGGGGCAGCTTGGGAGCCTCTTGGGAGCCACTTGGGGGCCTTTCGGCAGCCTCTTAGGGGCCTCTCAGGGCGATATTGGAAGCCTCTTGGGCCGTCTTGGAGCGTCGGGAAATCGAAAAGACAAGAACGCCAAACTCTGTCATCATAGAAGTTTGTCGCGTGGGGCCATCGAAGGGCTCTTGGAAGCCTCTTGGGGTGTCTTGGAGGCCTCTTGGATTATCTGGAGGCTATATAGCGCGTCTTGGACCGATCGTTCGGCGATTCTGGGCTGGGCCCTCTTGGATCGTCTTAGTTGCCTCTTGGTCTCTCTTGGTCTGTCTCGGGGCTTTCTGTGGCTCCGGAACCCCCAGGTGGGATGGTGTTTTGACCTGGGACCCCCCCCTCCCACCCGGGACCCCCCCCCCCGCAGGGAAGGGATCAAAGGGAAGGGGCTTCCCTGCGACTTAACTGCGACGTTCTTCAATTCCCCTGTTCCTTAGTTTCATTGGAACTGACGACGACGACGACGACGGCGACGACGACGACGACGACGACGACGACGACGACGACGACGACGACGACGACGACGGTAAGGCGACGACGACGGCTTAAACGGAAGAGCGTCTCACATACGCCGACGGCTCGGCGGATTCAGCATGTGTGCATGTGTCATACACCCATAAGGGGGGAACCGGAGCTACGGGGCCACTGGGCCGTTGCCCCCGAATGCAAGTGACTGGGCACCCCCCCAGACCAGGGGGACCCCGACCACCTATCGCCGCCCCCTGTCTGGTCGTGCAAGATGGTCCCCAGACGGCCCGAGATGCCCAGAAGGCTTCTCTGAGGAGGAGGAGGAGGAGGAGGAGGACAATTTGAAGGAGCTCCCGAACATCTGCATGCAAAACAGATGTTCAGCTTCGTGGGCCGATCAGTATTGCAGGTGGTCTTACAATCGCCACTGCCATCATCCATGTGTGGAACAGACGCTATTACAATCCAGCATCAGCGCGGAAGTTGGCCTCGGTTTCTGTACTTGTTGCAGCCTCTGCTCTGGGTACTCTGGAGAAGGAGCAGAAGGAAACCTGCATACTCCATGTATCGTATGGAGAAGCCTTCATATCAAATGACAGATGTTGACAGTTGTTCGGCTCCAGCGCCCAAGCATGGAGGATTTGTTCACCAAAGATTTTGCATGTTGTAGAGTTTCGAACATCACGTCTTCCTGAGCAGACAAGTGATCATGCATTGTTGAAGTTCCGTGGTGGTTAAGCAGCATTTGACGATGATCGCATTGTGGCCGTGTGGACGGAGTCGGATGCTGCGTTCTTCGACAGTGATATTACGTTGGATGCACGGTTGGCTAAGGATCAAGACGCCGATATACTTTGCTTTGTGGCCGGTCCGCATGACTTCTGTGATATCCCAGCGTCGGAAGGTGGCGCCAACGCAGCTCAGCTTGTTAAATGCGCGAATTCTTGCTTAGTCATCGTACGAATCGCACCATTGCCTCGGGAACATGTGTGCAGAAACTTTGAGAGATTAACGAGCATGCTGCCTGCAGAGAACTGGACGGAAACTTTGGATTACTATCTTGCATCGGGGCTGCCAGAGTCAGAATGGAAAAACCCTCGAGCTTGCGAGTTGCATCCTTCTGACCCTCCCCGTTGGTCCTAGTGCTATCCCCAGCATCCAGGCCGAACAAAATATGGGGATCTGTGTGTCATCGCGTGCGGATGGCCAACACAGACACGATAGGCCAGTTCCATTGCGCAAGGTCGCGCTCTTTTCAGCATGTGCAGCTATCCAATGTCATACCTGGAGATGCATGTACTGTCATCTGTATTGGGGATGATGGAGACATTGCCAGGTGTTTCCAGAATATTTCAGATGCGCGGAACCAGTCCTCTGCAAGGGCTTGACGCGTGGATTTGTTGAAGTGGTACTTCTTGATTCGGCCGCGTGGGTGACAACAATCAAGTCGACCATCCTCCGAATTGAATAGAGCAGGCGGTAATGCATCTCATGAGGCACAGTGCTCTGAGCGGGAATGCAGTCTGTTCGATATCTACCAGTCCAGCAAGCTGTTAAGGGAGGCTACACGGGTGGTGTGGAGGAAGACACGGGGATGGGGGCGGAGCAGCATACGCGGGGACCGATAGAGCATTGTTGTTATTCGTCTCGTGCACGATCAAAGCAGCGATGAAAAGAGAGGTCTTCCTAGATTCTATGTGCTTTCGAGGCGTGTCCACGACCGGTTCTCATGATTTGCGCATGCTGGCTATTGGTTTCCATCAGATACAATTGATTACGCGGGTTATCAATGAGTCGGCGTCTGAAGCCCCCCCAAACTAAAAATGAGTGTCCATGGTCCCACAGCCCAAAATGACCCCGCGGTGATCCCCAGCTGTCATCAAGATCGCCCTAGAGGTTCCAAAGCGGCCCAAGAGGGCCCCAGGACGGCCCAAGAGGGCGCCAAGAAATCTCCAGGAGGACACAAGAGACCCCGAAGAAGGCATCGAGGAACCTCAGATGTCCCAAGAGGGCCTCAAGACAGCCCAAGAGGGCCCCACGACGACCCAAGAGCTCAGTCGGGAACGCTATTTTGGCGACGTGGGCCCCCATAAATTGAGCAGCACAAAGGACTCAGGAGACAGGACAGAAGAGGTACGACAAAAGAGACAGTAGCAAAAACATGATGGGCCCACGTATCCGGAAATGGATATAGAACCGCATGCATGGAAACGTTTTCACGACACCGTATTGGGCGACGGGCACTTCCACGAGACACCCCGCGAAACATTCCACGAGACACGGGCGACCGTTTTCAACGTTTTCCTGGAAACATTCCACGAGACACCCCGCGAAACAGTCCACGAGACACCCCACGAAACATTCCACGACGACAGGCAACCACTCAACCAAGGCGGTGTGGTCGTGCTGGGGAGTGGTCGTGCTAGGGTGTGGTCGTGCTGGGGGGTGGCGCCCCTGGAGAGATCAAATCTATACGCACAGACGTAAAAGCACATGGATTCGTGCACCTGGAGAGGGCAAATCTACAGGCACATACGTAAAAACACACGGGTTCGTGCACCTGGAGAAGGCAAATCTCTGGGGCGCCCAGATCCCTCAAGTTCTACAAAACAAGCGATTCGCTCGAGACATCCTCGGTAACTCTGCGGAGCAAGCGTTTCGCTCGAGACATCCTCAACACACGAAAGAGTGGCCCGCACCCTGTGATTTATCGATCGGGATTTCAAAAACAAGCGTTTCGCCTGAGACATCCTCAAATTTTAATCCGCCGGCCCACCTCGACCTCGATATTTATCAGGGAAAGAATCCGCCGGCCCACCTCAGTTGAGGCACCGGGGACAGATTACCATCCTAAACGAGAACCCTGGGCCTACGCCCTTTCCGGGAACAGCAGTCAGGCAGCACCTTCACGGCCAGTGGAAACTGGGCGTCTGCAGGATACCCGATACCATTCTTATGTGCATGCAGGGAGCAGCCGTCCAGTATTCGGGCCTCCCTGCCCGGGGCACCATGTAGACCCGGGCTTTGCCCCCGGCTGGCACCTCACGAGGAGCATTGGGGGCACACCCCTCATCGTTGATCGCGAGCGGGAAACAGACAGGACACTGGCGAGCGGCGTACTCTGCTCTGCCTGGTGATCGAGGAGGCGGTGCAGATAGGCGACTTCGAGAAGGTGGACCTGCTCCTCGACGCCCAGGCAGACTCGCTGCGCGTCTCGCGCCCTTGCGCTCCGGCACCCACAAGAGCACATCGCCGCACCCTTTTCATACCTGTTCGCCATGTTCATGCATAGCTTCTGTTCCCAGCCCTTGATCCACCGTATTGTATAACTTCACCTTAGTAGCAACGGTCGCATGAGTTTGCTTCATTTTGTCAAGTGTCCCCTATCTTCACAAGCACACGAAGGCAGCGATTACCCTAGATCCTAGATGGTGGCCAGGCTGTCTCTGGGCGCTGCGCAATTTGACGCCGCACCACTCTCTCCCTTCCTTGCATCACCTTACTGTACCATCGACTCCTCCTCCCCACCTCGCGAAGCATCCTCCTCGCTGTCCTCCTTGTTATCGTCCTTCTCGCTAAGCACCCTCGTCATCGTTTTCCTCACCCCCACCTCGCTGCGGGAAGCATTCTCCTCCTCGTCACCCTCATGATCCTCTTCCTCGGTTTGGTTGCGAGGCGTTCCGCGGCGAGCGCGTCTCGCCTGCGAGGCGGCTCGGGGCGAGGCGGTCCCCGGCGAAGCGATTCGGGGCGAAGCGGTTCTAAGACAAAGCGGTTTCGTGCCACACAGCTTACGTTCGTGCACACGTATTCGCAAGCACACCACAAAATCACGCGCGCACATCGAAGCATGTCGCTGGTCGTTTCGCTTCTGCTTTAGATGCACCTAGCGACGTGGTGGCACTACTACCACATACCAGAGGCTCTACTGGCACCGCTAGGCCGGTGGCTTTATTGACTTCCTGATTCGCTCTTTCTTGCCCTTGCTTGATCCGCTCGCGTCAACATCAGCTCTATGGTACCATTACGCATCGGTTTTCTTGCGCCCATACACAGTGATACCGCCGCCATGCAGGCAGACCCCAACCGCCGGTCCGAGAACGGCACCTTTCCGCTGCAGTTGGCAGTGAAGCATTCCAGCGTCGATTTGACGCGGAAGTTGCTCAAGCGCAAGGCTCCTTATCTCACCGTTGAAATGCAGCACCCGTGCCCAAACGCCCGACGGTCCGATTTTTGAGACGTGGGCCCCTCGACTTCTCGACCCCCTACCCAGGGCTGGCGTTTCATCCTGTAGGCTTGTTTTGTGGGGCCAGAAGCCCGCGACTCTGAGGCCCAGACAGGAGGAACATCGTCAGGGGCAACGTTAGGGGGGATGGGCTCAAGAGCGGACGCATCGACCCACAATCGCCCAGTCATCGCAGGTAGAGGTCCGTCCGATAGCCCACCTCGCCCAGTGGCGTGCGAACCCGCTCTCCCGGACATACGCCGGCGATGCATCATCGATGTTTGGTCGATGCTCCCCCCCTGGAGCCCCCCCCCGATCGTCGGGCGAAGGCGTATGCACCGATCCTGGGCTCAGGATGGGCCTAGCCAGAATCGATGTCTCTCTCTCTATATCGCTTCCCCTCGCTTCTGCCTCGAGCCGCTGGAGGTCCTGGGTGTAAACCCCTGGTCGGGGGGCGCCACCGTGCGGCCGGAGGCGTTCTGGTATCGTTTGTCGCTGCGCTCGCCCGTGTGCTCTGCGAGGGTGCACCGCAGGGCGGCACTGCTCGGGCGGACCACTGCTGGGTTGGAGCAGTCGGGCGTCGTGTCACGGGGCGACAGATGGGGGGTGAAGGAAGGTGCACCTCTGGTGCCCTGAGGGCCCACCGCCTCCTCCTCCTCCTCCTCCTCCTCCTCCTCCTCCTCCTCCTCCTCCTCCTCCTCTCTCCTCCTCCTCCTCCCCTCCTCCTCCTCCTCTCTCCTTCTCCTCCTTCCTCCTCCTTCCTCCTCCTCCTCTCCTCCTCCTCCTCCTCCTCCTCCTCCTCCTCCTCCTCCTCCTCCTCCTCCTCCTCCTCCTCCCCCCCCCTAACGCACCTCCATGAAGCAACGGCCAAAGCAGGGGGCGTGCGCTGCGGTCGGGTTGGCATGCCGCGCCGCCGGTGCTGGCCGACCACGCTTCGGCGCGACGTGCTGCGTCAAGGTCCCGAGCGCTCTCCCCGGCCTCCCGCCCCGCGGAGCGTGGCGGCACGCTGCCAAGCTCGCCAGGGACACGGCGCGTCGCAGGGGCCGCCGCCGCGACACGCCGAGCAGAGAGCTCCGGGCCGTGTGGTGGTGCATCGCAGGGCGGCGCCGCTGCCCTGGTCTTATGTCGGGCGTGTCCCCCTACAGGGGGATTTTCGACGAACATGATGGACCCACGAACCCGGAAAGGGATAAAGACATGTGCAGCATGGTCACGTTTTCACGATACCCAACTGGGCGACACCTCACGAAACATCCCACGAGACACCCCGCGAAACATCCCACGAGACACCTCACGAAACATTCCACGAGACACCTCACGAAACATTCCACGAGACACCCTTTGAAACATTCCACGAGACACCCCACGAACAGGCAACCACTCAACCAGACACGCCACGAAACATTCCACGGGGGTGCGACTGGGTGTGGTCGTGCTGGGGTGTGGTCGTGCTGGGGTGTGGTCGTGCTGGGGAGTGGTCGTGCTGGGGTGTGGTCGTGCTGGGGTGTGGTCGTGCTGGGGGGTGGTCGTGCTGGGGGGGTGGTCGTGCTGGGGGGTGGTCGTGCTGGGGGGGTGGTCGTGCTGGGGCGTGGTCGTGCCACCCCGCGAAACATCCCACGAGACACCTCACGAAACATTCCACGAGACACCTCACGAAACATTCCACGAGACACCCTTTGAAACATTCCACGAGACACCCCACGAACAGGCAACCACTCAACCAGACACGCCCCCCTACAGGGGGATTTTCGACGAAAAATACAAAATACCCCCAAAATACTCCAAGAAGATCATAAAATGTTCAAAAAATAGTCCCCAGACTATTTTGGGATTATTTTTTGATTTTTTGGGGGGTACTTCTTATTTTTCGTCGGAAATCCCCCTGTGGGGGGACAGGCCCGACTTAACCCTGGTCCTTGTCTGGCTGGAGCAGGGAGTGTCCCCGGGGGGGGGGGGGGGGGGGGGAAGGATATGTCATGGCGCGGCAGGGCCTGGGCTCTCCCAGAGGCCGCGGCCCCTGCGTCTCTGGACACGTCCCCTGGGCCGCGCACGTGCCTCGGGCCACGACGCCGCTGCTGCCCTTACGTCGGGCCTGCCCCTCTACAGGGGGAATGTTCAAAGATAGGGGAAAAATAGTCTGGGGACTATTTTCTTACCATCTCTGAGCATTTTTAGTGAGTTCTTGGGATATTCTTAATTTTTCCTCCAAAATCGGCCTGTAGGGGGACAGGCCCGACCTAATGCTACCCTCTTCCTGGGCCCCCTCTTCGGCGCACCCGGCGTCCGGGAGTCGCCGGGACATGCTCCTTCCTCGCCCCCCTCCTCGCGGCCTCGCTCCTGTGGGCACGCTCCAGGTCAGAAACCAGCTGTGGGAGAAAAACACAAAAAAAAACAACACAAAACAACACAACAACACAACAAGAAACACAACACAACAAAACACACAAAAAACACAAACACACACACACACACACCCACACACACCCACACACACACAAAACACACACACCGAAAAGCATACAAAAACACACACAGGGAAAAAAACACAGGCATGTGCCCCAAAGCACGTCCCGGCCAGGAATCGTGGGGCCGATCCCGCCCTGACGACGAGGACAGCCCTGGAGGCCCAGAGATGGCCGACAGCACCGTTGCTCTCCTCATCCTACTCCTCCTCCTCCTCCTCTAGCACCAGACCGTATAAAAATGCCTGGGTCGCTTCAGCGTTTTCATAGTATGGGCATATACGGCGATCCTTCGGGTGATAAAGAGGTTCGGGGGAGGAACCAATTTCTCATTCAATCGACCTCACGATCGATCTCAGTATCATTCATACTATCGATGGTACGATCGATCGTACCATCGATCTCATTATCGATCTCGCTATCGGTCCCCTCCTCGATCTCACTGTCGATCTAACTGTTCATCTCACTACCGGTCTCACTATCCATCTCACTATTGGTCACACCATCGGTCTCACGATTGATCTCACTATCGATCTCACTATCGGTTTCACGACGGGACACCGACGGGACACCGACGGGATACCGACGGGACATCGACGGGGCACCGACGGGGCATTGGGGCGCCAAGGTCAGGCGCGGGCATGGTTCAGCAGGCTGTTTCAGCAGGACCGGCCGCCCCGTCAGGCTGCGCGAATAATCCTGCCCAGCAGCTGTTGAGCCTGTCCGGGTGGCGCTCCTTCCTGGAGGGCGCTCCCTCTTGCGAGGCGCGTCTTGCGCCAAATGTTCCGTTCAGCGACCATGGGCGCCAGTGGCGGCCGCTCAGGCACTTGGCAGCCCTGTCGAGTCTAGCGCTGCGGAGATGGAGCGCGGCATTTTCCAGCCTGGGCGGAGGTTCCCCGAGCTCCCCGCGCCGCAGCGGGCGAGCAGCTCCGCGTGGCCGCGCGCGGAGCCTCGCTGGAGAGAGCGGCCGATGCCCCCGCGCCAGCTGGCCCTCGCGGGCCCAGGGCACCCGCGGCCTGGCCTGGCGCAGTCGCGGGTGAGTACACAGGGCTGAACTTGAACGGCGTTTTTCGTCTTCGTTTTGTTTTCGTTGTCCCTCGTTTCGTCTTCAGCCCGCCTGCACCGCAAATCGAAGTCGAAACGAAAACGGCCCACGACATCGCAAAAAAAACGCCGTCCGGATCCAGCCCTGTGAGGCAAGGCGAGCATGGGGCCCCTCTTGGGGGGGGGGGCGGCTCGAAGCTTCCGACCTCGGCCCCACGGGAGCTGCCTCGAGGGTGGTGGCCGGTGCCTCCGCGGCACCATCCGAGCCGCGCAGAGCCCCCCTCCCTTGTCGGAGGGGCGGCCGGCGCGCCCCTGCGCGCAGCTCCCCGCCCTGGGGGAGAGACCCTGCGGGCTCGAGCAGCGGAGCACCCGCAAGCAGGGCCCGTCTCGATTCTCTCCCGATCCGAGTCGGTGCGATTTCGGGTTTCGGGTTTCGGGTTTAGGGTTTAGGGTTTAGGGTTTAGGGTCTCGGATTCCCAGCTGGATTCCGATGTCTCAACGGCGGCCTTACAGTCGGCCCGGATTGGTAGGTCGACCCTGCCAGCTCAAGGGTACCCTTGTGTCCCGTGCCTCGCGACACGTGCACTCTTACACTCCTATGGCGGTGTGGCCCTCGGAGGGTCTTGCGTCATCCCGCCCAGTCAAATCCGACTGTACAACTCTGCCGATTCCCGCCGATTCTATGAACTTCGATCGCCGGTCCCACTTATCGACTCGATTATGGGCTCTCCTGCCTTGGGGAGGGACTGCGGGCTCCAGCGGAGCAGCCTCAAGGCATGTGGGCGAAGCCTCCGCTGGCGTGCTATGTGTGGAGTCCACCTTCAATTTTGCCAGGGCGCCTGGCGGGTCGGCGGGCAATGCTTGCGTCGAGCCGGGCAGCTTGGAGATGGTTCGCGGTATTTCCAGAACGGGTGGTTATTTCCAGTTCAGCATGTCCAGCAGCTTGGGTGGAATCGCCGATTCAGTTACTTACGATGGTGGATCGGGTGGCCCCGGCGACGTGGACGCGCTGCTGCGCCAATCCCAGGGGCCGCCGCTGCGGGGAACACCTGGTAGAATCGGCGGGCCAGAGCGCGATGGAGAGGCCGAGGCACGCGACCCCGTGCGACCCCAGACAGTCTCACCGATGGAATCACTTGGCGGTATCGGGGCCCCTCGATCTCAGGAGGCCCCGTCGCAGGGGGGCACATGGACGCGTCGAGGGAAGCGGCGAGAGAGGCAGCGATGGAGATGCCTGCGGGCCGGGCGCCGTTCCTCGCAGCACCATGGGCGAAGAGTTCGACCCCTCCGACCAGGTCGGACATGATTTCTCAGCGCGCGCGCGCCCGTCTTCCCCAATCTTGGACGATCGGGCCGAGCTGGAGACCGAGGCCACCAAGGCGGTCAACGGAGCCCGGGATTCGCGGTCAGAGCTGGCGGGCAAGTGTGAGGACGGCGGCTCGAGCGCCGCGTTCATGTGCGGCAGCATCACGCAGCGGGGCCCAGCGGCTTCCAGTGTTCTAAGCTCTTGCGGGCTTCAGGTGGCAGCATCCATTGCGACCCGTGCCACTGCCGACGTCTTCGCGGGCGGCGTGGAGCGCAGTCTAGATCGCGACGGCTGGGCAGTTCCAGCGCGTCACCGCCATGCCGCGGGGAGGGGCGGGTCGTCGGGAGGAGAGTGGGGGACTGCCTGGGAGGCATCTCTCGACGACCTCCTGCGGCGGCGCACGCCATGCTGCTGTCGCGAATCGTCAGACGGACCCCTTTCCGAAGCTTTCCAGCGCTCTCGTGGCGTCTGTCGTCTGGGAACGTTTTGGTCATTGGTCATTGGTTTGTGCTTCCTTCCAGTCTCTTGAACGTCTGGGTTCGACCGTTCTGGCTGAGTGGCGGTCAGCGCTGTTGTCAAAGCCTTAACCGATCCCAGGGTCACACTGGGGGGTCGGAACCATCCCCGACGAACCTTGTCAATTCGCGATGGCCCTGCAGGATGGGGCGCTGCGTCGTGTTGCCCGACGCTTTCGACGCCATTTGCGGCAAAAGCCGCCGTCGACAGTGTTTGTGTCGATAATGTCGTTGCCAAGTCGGAATATGCTAGTGCATCTGGGCGTCAGGTTTTTTCTGCAAGCTTAAAGACACATGGGGCGGCGGAAGTGAGCCGGCACAAAAAGCTCTTCGTTGTCGACTTCCCCCCTCGTCCAGGCAGGCACAAGAAACGAGCCGATCCAAACATCAAGCGATCTAAGCAGCGAGCCCCGGCTCTGGCCAGTCGCAGGGAGAGGCGTTCGGATGATCTTCGGGGGGTGTTTGATCTCGCGCATGCTGGCGAGACTGAGGTTTCTTCCGGCGCCTCCGCGGTTGACTTTGTTGTTCTCATGAGTTTCGGGAGGAGTTCAGTTGCAGCGCGGCGGGTTTCCCATGCTCCCCCAGGAGTGTCTGGAGGCCAAGTGCAGCCATCTGCTCCTGACCTCCAACCCCTGTGGATGCGTGGGCGCATCTTGCCTTTGTGCCAAGTGGGTCTCCAAGCTTGAGCTCGCGGCCTGGGGCCGGGCGCGCCGTCTCTGGGCAGAGGTCCAAGTCGACGCCCGGCAGATTCCGCGCGACGGGTGGGTCGGCGGAGTGGCGGGGTACATTCCACGCGCTCTCGATGAGATGGCTCCGCCCCAGGAACAGCGGCAAGGATTCCAGGCAGGAGGCTCGCTCTGAGGTCTTGGGTTGTACTCGGGAGGCGACGGTTTGGGCTGCTGGCGAGTACTCTGGAAAGGGCGAGAGCGAACTCCGGCTTCGATGGCTCGAGTGGGGGCGAGGACTTTGGGCCGATTCCGATGACGGGGTGCTTGGTGTCCTGCTCTCGACCACGACGCTCGCTGGACGCGCGCGGGGCAGGGCCCTCGCCAGCCGCGGAGAGGCCCAGGCTGAGTGGGCCCTGGAGCAGCTGAAGAAGAAGAGGAGGGGGAGGAGGGGGAGGAGGGGGAGGAGGAGGGGGAGGAGGAGGAGGAGGAGGAGGAGGAGGAGGAGGAGGAGGAGGAGGAGGAGGAGGGGGAGGAGGAGGAGGGGGAGCCTGCATCGTCGCGAGTCCGCGACCCCCCGCGCGAGCTCCGCTGAGAAGGCCGCGCGGGCGGCGCGAGGGTCGGCGGCCCCCCCTCTTCTTGCAGCAGGAGGGCCGGGAGAAGGTCCGGGCTGACCTTCGGGCTGGCCCAGTCGACTCGCACCAGGGCGTTGTCTATATCTGTATATATATATACATATATATATATATATGTGTACTGTATATGAGAGAATTGTGCGGGCCTTTCATATATATATATATATAATATTGTGCGCACCGCCCCTGATCCTGGCCCCCTCGACAGTGAGGAGGCTCTCGGGAGGCATCATTACAATTTACGGCGAGCTGCACAGATCCTTGTAGAGCACTCTCGAGCGCCCTTCTAGGTCTGTCTGGTGACCCCGTCTGGACTCTTCAGGGTACGAGTGATATATATGTACTGTATATATATATATATGTATATATATATATATCATCGCTGAGTTGGGTAGGGCGGCCAGTTCTCAGGGCACGCAGGAGTTGACTTCGGAGCGCCTCGGCGCGGCCATAGAGTCCCTGCCTGGCAAGGCCGGAGGGGTTGGCGGGATCACCACCATGGATCTTCAGAGGCCCCCCCCCCCCAGAAGGCGCTTCGGAATTTCTGGAACTTCTCAGGGCGGCCGAGGACAGGAATGTCTGGCCTGCCCAGCTTCTGTATTCGGTCACCGCCCTGTCACCCGAGCCTCCATTTGCCCAGAACCCCCCAAATTTGGTCGAGAATGAGGTGTGGCCTCACTTCTCAGTGGCTGAGTTTGGACGTTCAGCTTTGCGCTGCCCCTCGCAGGCTGCGCGGGCAGCAGGGGTGTTCGGACGCTGTTTGGCCCACCCGTTCTTTGGTTGCTAGTTCCCCCGGCAGAGTCAGATCTGCTAAACTGTTTCTTCACCCGCTTTTGGAAGCCGCGCGGAACAAAGCCCCCACGGCGCCCCACGTGAACCTTTGTCGATGAGGTGGTGCTGTGCGTTGAAGGCGCCGGGCGGCAAGTGAGGCAGGCATGGCGCATTCCTGGCGCATTCCTCGGTTGCTCTCGGCGATGAAGTTCCCACAGGGCGCTTGATTGCCCCAGGCAAAACTGTGTTCGTATCCTCCTTCCTTAAGCTTGGAAAGCCCGCGTTTATGCCTTGTCACAGGATTGCGGTTTGCCCGCCAGCATTGCCAGAACGGACGTTGATTTGGGCGCTGATGGCAGCTCTGGCAGGTTCCGTCCGGCGGCCAAGTCCAGGTCTAGGACGAAAGCGACCGGTCGGAGAGCCGCGCACGCACATTTTCCGAATATGGAGGACTGCTTCCTTCAAGAAGGCTTCCCAGGGGCTCGGGATCATGGGGGCCTTTCCCCGAGGCCCGTCAGCTCACCAGGTGCAAGGGCGCGCGCCCAGCAGCGTTATTGGCCAGCGCAGGTAAGCCGCTGCAGCGGCGCATGGCCTGCTGCACCGCGGCTTTGACTGCAGAGTTTGGTCTCAAGAGCCTCGAGGTCGAGCCTCGCAGGCAGCTGATTTCAGGCTTTTGTTTGGTTTGTCGGCACAGGCGTCCCCACTTACACGTCAGGACCCACAGGGCCTGGAGTCCATCGCTTCGTCTCCCAAAGCGCGCGGGTAAGGCCAAGCCAGGCTTTGATCCCAGCGATTTCGAGGTGTCTGAGCTTTTGGGCGATTTGTGTTGCGACCTCAGAGCGCAGCTGCAGGAAGCTACTCCTCAGCACAGAGCGATCTCTGATTTGAAAGGAGGGGGCGAACTTTTTGTTGGTTCGTCTCGAGCTGAAGTGGTTCACTAAAGACGGTCTTTTCAGCAAGCATGGCTTCACGATGGCTGTGGTGGGCGGGGCCCAGTGATCCCGTGCTAGACGGTATCCTGTGGGCTCTCTTGAGGACTTGTTGTGCCAGCCGTGCAAGAAGTGCCCCGAGACCCTCATGCATCCGACGTGGCTCTGCGAGGCCAATTTCGGTCTTGATGACTACGTCAAGAGCGGCTGTCTGGTCCCTCAGGCGTTGGCGGATGTTGAGGCCTCTTCTTGGTACGTGGCTTACAGGCATAGCCCCGTCCGAGCTGAGCAGGGTACTTTGCTTTTTTTCCGTGCCCGAAAATTCGCTCATTGATTGCTGTTTTGCTGGTGCAGTCACAGTTATCTTCGGCGACGGCTCGAGGGGGCATTTGTCCTCGACCCTCGTCGCCGTCGCTGTGGCGCAGGAGCATGTGCTACTCATCAGCTGGGTGACGCCTTCGAAGATCCTGGAGGGGATTCGGCGGGCCTTGTCGGCCGCAGTCAGACCGTCCCCAAGACCGAAGTCACCGCTTTCGCTCTGGCCCTTGAGGGATCTGTGGGCCCCATCCTTGATGTGACGGACCACGGGCCACAGACCACAGGAGGAGGACGAGGAGGAGGAGGAGGAAATGAGGAGGAGGAGGAGGAGGAGGCTCAGAAGGAGGAGAGTAGAGGTGTCATGGGCATGAGTAGGGAGGGGAGCGGAGAGATGAGTGGGGAGGAGAGGGAGGAGGAGGAGGAGGAGGAGGAGGAAGAGGAGGAGGAGTAGGAAGAGAGAGGAGGAGGAAGAGGAGGAGGAGGAGAAGGAGGAGGGGGAGGAGGGGAAGGGGGAGGAGGGAGGAGGAGGAGGAGGATGAGGAGCAGGAGGAGATAGGAGGAGGAGGGGAGGAGGAGGAGGAGGAGGAGGAGGAGGAGGAGCAGGGGGAGGACGAGGAGCAGGAGGAGGGGGAGGAGGAGCAGCAGGAGGAGGCGGAGGAGGAGCAGGAGGGGGAGGAGGAGGAGGAGGAGGAGGAGGGGGAGGGGAAGGGTGAGCAGGAGGATGAGGGCGAGCCGAAGGAGGACGACGAGGAGGCAGTCTCGCCCAAGCAGGCGGACGTCAACCAGCAGGACGCGAAGCTGGTCTCGCCGCTGCACACCGCCGTCTTCCAGGACCCCCCCCCCTCGTGACCACCCACACCGGGGCCCTGGGATGCGCGTGTCCTTGGCACCCGATGCCCTGATGTGACATACGGCCATAATTGTTTGATAGCGTGTCGCGCTCCGCTGGTTCTGGCCCGCCGGTCGTTGGAATGCATGCTAACCACTTCAGAGTCCCGAGGCTAACTACCTCGGAATCCTGAGGCGTCAACGCCCCGAGCCTTTCAGATCTTCCCGCCCTGCAGACCGACACGCTAACCATTCGCAAGGCATTGCGTGTCGTTGTGGCCGCCGTAGCAACACACTATCCAAAAGTTCCCGACCGCTCTCGCGTCGTAACCAACAAAAACAAGATGGAAGGTTTCAGGATGAAAAGCCAGTTCCCGGGAAGGCACCCCGACATTGCGATTTCCCCGTTGCGAGAAGCACACGACGTGGCCATGGCATTTTTAGAAAAGCAAAGCACTGAAGAAACGTCTTCTGCGGTCCGCGCACATCTCTTGAGTCGACGCTCATCCCCCTCTTCCCCGGCGGCGCCCCCAGCGCCACCCCATTCGCGCTTCGCGCGCTGGGGAGGTGGGTCCAGCGCCGACCCATGAAATCCGCGTGGACCTCCGAAAGTTCATGTTCATGGCATGCGTCTGTTTTTCTACAGATGCTTGGGCGCCAGAAGCAGGACGACGACGACGACGACGAGGAGCAGCAGCAGCAGCAACAGCAGCAGCATCGGAAGCAGCAGCAGGGGAAAGAGAGAGGAGGGAGGAACGAGGAGCCACGAGGGAGGGGGCAGGGAACATGCAGGAATGAGGAAGGATCGCACGCCACCGAGGTGAGAAAGAGAGAGAGAGAGAGAAAGAGAGAGAGAAAGAGAGAGAAAGAGAGAGAAAGAGAGAGAAAGAGAGAACGAGAGAGGAAGAGAGAGAGAGAGAGGGAGAGAGAGGAAGAGAGGGAGTCCGACAGTCAGCAGAAAACCCCATGGGGGGCCCATCTGGGAGGACCTTTTCGCCACCGTGGCAGGAAAGGCCAAAGACAGGCCAGGGGCCACCGACAGGCCGGGGGCCAGCGACAGGCCCCCCCCCTGGGGAGAAACGGCTTGACCATCACCATCATCATCACCATCATCATCATCATCATCATCACCATCATCATCATCATCACCATCACCATCATCGTCATCAGCATCATCATCACAATCATCCTCATCACCATCATCATCATCACCATCATCATCAGCATCATCATCATCACCACCATCATCATCATCATCATCATCATCATCACCATCATCATCATCAGCAGCATCATCACCACCATCATCATCATCATCAGCATCATCATATCATCCTCATCAAACTCGTCGGATGGTTGGCCTTGTTTACCTGGCTCCGAGCTCTCTGGCCTCCTCCTCATTGAGGCCGAACGCCTGGAGGCAGTCGGCCGAGCAGAGGTTGGAGACGCCAGGCGGAACATTGGCACTTCTAAGCTCCTTCGGCTGGGCCCCTGGGACTCCCCCCGAACAGCCAAACGCCTCCCGAGCCCGCACACCTGGGGTCCTCCAGGGGCCCAGCTTTAAGGCTCGATTCGGATGCTTCTTGAGACTGCACAGGGCGCCACGAGTGTTCTTTCGGCCAGGGTCCAGGAGACTCGCTGGGGACCCAGGGCACACGTTCCTCAGGCCCCTGGAACCCGCAGAGGCCGTTGCGCACCCCCCGCGCGAGGAGCAAAGAAGTATCGGGGTTTGGGCTTCAGCAGCCACGGAGAACTTGAGACGCCAGTGGCCACCTTGGGACCAGGGGGCCTGGCACGCGTCCTGGGCCAGCCTGGCCAGGCCAGGGCGGAAGCCGACACCTGTTCCAGCAGAGCGCGTCTTCGTTTCAGTGTGTACTCCCACCTTGTGGCCTCCAGCTTCATCTCAGACTCTGGCCACATTTTTCTGCAGTGAGGAATGTTTGAGTGCAATCTGCCTTATCGTCGCCATCGTCAAAGAAGCATGTCCATCGATCCGAAGCAGCGCTCCATGGATATCCGCTCAGAATTTCCCCCGCCCAGCCCCATGGAGAACAGCGCTAGCATGGCGGCCCCAGCGCTCACGAAGCGGGCGAGTATTCACAGGGGCGACCGACAGGAACTTCATGACGACAGGCACATGGTTGAGAATGTTGTGCATGGCCCGCACCGCATCTGCAGTCCGCTTCCAAGTAGTTGTCCAACGAACCAATCCTTGTACGGACTGCGGTAGGTAAACAAAGTCCATATGTGATGCAGCGCCTTGCATTCCGAAGCAGGAATTCCCAGTATTCCAGTGCGTGTTCACGGCACTCATACGCATCTGACCAGATAGTGCGTGAACACGCTAGCTACAGAAGGTCTCACATTCACTGCTAAATTCTCCCACAGCATTGCCCTCACTGTGATAACGCTTCAGTCCAGAACGTAAGCCTGTAAAAATAACAGGAGCGTAACCTTGAGGCACCTGATTGAGAGCTTCCCGAGCCCACGAGGTGAGGTGCCTGCATGTAGCTTTCCAAAGCTTTGCCTCGCCATGTCGCTATGGTCGTGGCGGGTAGTGGGGAACAAGTAGTGCGAGGAGGAGGGGCCCAGATTCCACGATCACCAGACCCCCGCGCCCGCGGAGTCCCACATGGGGGGGCACAGTCCTCCTGATGCTGCTGCCGTGGAAGAAGCGCTTCGCCAGGAAAACAGCGCACTTGCAGCTCATCCGAGCCCATCCGAAGTGGATCACGCGGCTGAAGAGTGCGAGCGCCCTGTGATGAGGCTCTCCCCACCATGCTCGGACCGCCGTGCCAGGGAGGCCGACGATCCCGATGTCCTCCGCTCCTTCTGCACGCGAACCAGGCTGACTCTGGCCTCGGTCCACACGATCCAGAGCTAGAAGGCGCACCGGCCTGCCAGGATGTTGTAGCACGGCTGCAGAATCTTCATTCCTGATGTAGCTCGGTCCGACGATCCCGATGTCCTTCAGCGCCTCCGAGGCAGCCTCGAGCCTGCCCACCGAGACCAGGCTCTGCGGGCTGCAGGTCGCGACGAGGGCCTGCCTTGGAGCCCGCCCTCGCCCTGCCCGCCTGGGCGCCGCTGCACCGCGCCGCGAGCCGGAGCGCCGGGCGTGCCCGCCAGCCCCCGTGACTCAGGAGGGAAAGAAACGCACAGACACAATGAATCCTCGATCCCCCAGAATATATGGGGAAAGATGGGCAGTGGGGGGGAAGACAGAAACCCAGAAAATATTGGAAAATATAAGGAATATTTTTATTTGTGTGTATTTATTTGTGTGTCCTTGGGCCCCTTCAGTGACGGGGGGGGCACCCTGGCCATCCTGGCGGCCCCGCGGGCGCGGCTGCCCCCATCGCGGCGGGCGCTCCTGCCGAGGGGCTCCGCAATCAGGGGGGGGCCCGCGAGGGGACGGAGCCTGGAGGAGGAGGAGGAGGAGGAGGAGGAGGAGGAGGAGGAGGAGGAGGAGGAGGAGGAGGAGGAGAGCACCACCCCCTCGAGGACGACGCCCGGGTGGCGCAGCTGCTGCTCCTGCACCGCGCGAACGTCAACGCGGCGGACCAGGCCCCGCCCGCCTCCGCCTCGGGCCCGGCGGGGGCCTTGCGGGGGGGTCAGGAAGGGACAAAGACAGACGGGCACAAATCATCGTCGACTCCTAGGAAAAGATGGAAGATACGGGGAGTGCATCGGGGGCGGCCAAGGGGGAGGTGATGACAAGGGGGAGTGGATAGCATGGTGGGGGCCATGATATCTCCCCAGATTTCATGGCGCCTCCTCTTATTTCGTCACGTCCCTGGCCCCCCCCCTTGGCCGCGCACATGCCGCCGGCCATGATTTGCTCCCTCCCCGTCTTGGACGCACCCCTCTTGGCCGCCCCCGAGTGGAGGGGAAGACGAGCATCGGGAAGATATATCAAATTTTGGGAGTTCTGGGACTTGTGCCTCTTATTATGTGTTTCTGGGCCCTTCGAGCAGGTGTCGGCGGGGACAGGGGCGGGGGAGCAGGCAGCCCGAGAGGGGCAGTGGAAGGCCTCAGTGCAGTCGCACGCAGGGGGTCGGAGCTGGCTGGGGGCCTGAGGTTGCCCAGCATTGGCCCCGGCACGCAGGAAGGGGAGGGCCAGGTTCGAGCTTCCGACTTCGAGCAGGTTCTTTATTTCCCAACCATCCTGTGGTGTTTGGTCATCGTTTTGAAACGACAGCGCCCAGCGTTCCTCCTCACTCCTCCTCCTCCCCCTCCTCCCTCCCCTCCCTGTCTGCCTCTGCTCTCTCGCTTTCCCATTTCGGCGCACCACTCACGTGGTCGGTGGCCCCATAGGGCGTTCCACCGAAGGCCCAAGTGGGAGGGTCCGTATGCAGTTCCACCACCATTTCGGCGCACCCCTCACACGCTTCGTGGCCCCCTAGGGAGCTCCACCCAAGGCCCCAGTGGCAGGGTCCACATGCAGTTCCACCTCCATTTCGGCGCACCCCTCGCACGTTTCGTGGCCACATAAGGTGCTCCGCCCAAGACCCCAGGATAATAAGACCGATTACAACCACTTCGCGCGGTTCAGAAATTACTTCGGCCAGATTATAACCACTTGAAGCGGACTGATCGCAACCTGAAGGATTCCTGTACAAATCTTTGTGTAGAGCACCGCTTTGCAACCGATCCAAGAGCTTCTGGAGAGCTTCCGAAGAGTTTCTGCTGAGCTTCTGCTGGGCTTCTGTTGAGCTTCTGCAGAGCTTCCGACTGAAGAGCTTCCGCCGCGCAGAGTTTCTAAAGAGCTTCTGAAGAGCTGTTGCAGAGCTCCTGCAGAGCTTCTGCAGAGCTTCTGCTGAACGTCTGAAGAGCGTCTCAAGAGCTTCTTAAAAGTTAACCATCTTCTGCAGAGCGTCTGAAGAGCTTCTGCAGAGCTTTTGCAGAACTCTCGAGGCCTCCGAGAGCCCTCAGCGAGGCATTTTGTTTCAGAGGCCTCTCTGAGGCCTCCCAGAGGTTTCTCTGAAGCCTCAGAGAGGCTTTTCTGAGGGGCTTCTGCGAGGCGCCTGAGAGGCTTCTCTGAGAGGCATCTCTGAGAGGCTTCGCGCCCATATTGAAGGGGTGTCTCTGAGGCCCCTACGACGCTGCTGAGAGGTTTCTGAGAGGCTTCTGAGGGGGCTCTGAGAGGCTTATGAGAGGCTTCTGCGAGGCTTCTGAGATGCTTCTGAGAGGCTTCTGAGAGGCTTCTGACAAGCTTCTGCGAGGCTTCTACGGGGCTTCTACGGGGCTTCTGCGAGGCTTTGCCCATTCGACAGCACCAAGAATCGTCTCGTGGACCCCTCGGAGACTTCGGGGCCTCTTGGAGGTATGTCGGACGCTATCTTGGCCTCGTGGAAGTATGTTGGCGGCTATCTTGGGCCATCTTGAAGTACCTTGGGCCATAGTGGGAGGCCATCGTGGGCTCTCTGAGGCCCTCCTGGAGCCATCTTAGGGCATCTCGGACGCTCTAGCGCCTCGAGCCTCCCCCCTTCCAGGCCCGGGGAGATCGAGACCAGCTCGAGAGTCTGGCAATTGGTAGGATCCTTCGGAATTCTTGTGATTCCGCAGGAGGCCCTCGCAGGCATCTGAACCAATGGTAGGATCCCTGGGAATGCGTAGGATTGCCAAGGCGGCCCTCCCAGGCATCTGGCAATTGGTAGGATCCTTGGGGATTCCTAGGATTCCTGCAGAGGCCCTCTCAGGAATCTGGGAGTTGGTAGGATCCCTGGAAATCCCTAGGACTCCTTAGGAGGCCCCCCCCCCAGGAAATTGGGAAGCGGTCGGATCCGTAGGAATGTTTAAAGTTATTTCGGGATCCTTGTCGGGAATCTGGCCAGTGGTAGGATCCCTGGAAATTCGTAGGATTCCCTAGGAGCCCCTCCCAGGAACCCTTCCTGAGACCAGGTTTTCACCTTCGGAGGTCCTAGGGCACGGCAAGGGCCCCCCCCCCGAAGCAGAACATTACAGCAACAGCACGAAAGACATGACGTTGTTTTCTTCCGCGAGGCGAGAACGTCGGGGTCTTCCTGTTCCCTCGCCTCTGGGCAGGCTAGCGACGCACAAAGCCGGGTTCGATTGTCCGGATCTTCGCGCGCACGCGCCCTCGTGTCCAATGTGGCGTGCCGCGCTTGGCGGCCCGCGTGCGGCAGGTTCGTGTCGTGCCGACGCAGCAGCGCCCCCGCCGCGGGCGCTCCAGGTGGAGCGCCGCCAGCGGGCGAGAATCGGCCAACATGGAACGATCTGGCGATCGGAAAGCCGCCGAGCGTTCAAAGTTGAAGGATCCACGTGGTGTCAGAAGCCAACGCTGGGGCCGTTACGGAACGAGCCTGCCGTAAGTCAGCGCGTAAGGTCGCGATGTCACCTTGCGTAGGGCCCGTTTCGTGCCGTCGCCCAGGTGGGGCACTCGCCGGTCTTCCTCGCCAGCAGCCGGGGCCTCCAGGAGCGGAAGTTTGCAGCAACGGCACAAAAAACAATACGTCGCGGTTCTTTCACGACGGGAGGATGTGGCGGCGTACACAAGGGGGGCGGTATGGGGGAGGGGGGAAGGTTTCTCAGAAGGAGGTTGCTTCTCAGAATGCGCCGGCCCTACATCTGTAGGCAAGGCCTGCCAGCCTCCTTCTAAGACGCCTTCCCCCCACCCACCCCTACTCCCCTGTGCGGGGCAGTCGTCCAGGATTGCATTTCTCATAATTAAGAATTTTGGGAAACGCAACTGTGGCTCATTGAGTGCGGTTGCTTGAGGAAAACTGCGTTTCCCATAATTCGCAGGGCTTCGGCGGGGCAGTCGCCGCCGAAGAAGGATGTCGGGGTCTTCCTGTTCCCCCGCCTCTGGGCAGGTGGGGCAGTCGCCCGTCTTCTTCGCCAGCAGCCGGGGCCTGGCCTCCTCGCTCGTGGAGGCCGACGCAGACCTGCTGCATCTGAACAAGAGGCGCCCTCCTGCTCCTGCCTCCCTCGTTCCTCCCCCTCCCTCTGTCCTCGTTCCTCCTCCTCCCTCTCCTCCTCCGCCCTCCGCCTCCGCCTCCGCCTCCGCCTCCTCCTCCTCCTCCTCCTCCTCCTCCTCCTCCTCCTCCGCCTCCTCCTCCTCCTCCTCGTTCCTCCTCCTCCTCCTCCTCCTCTCCTCCTCCCCTCCTCCTCCTCCTCCTCCCCTTCCTTTCTCCTCCTCCTCCTCCTCCTCCTCCTCCTCTCCTCCTCCTCCTACCTCCTCCTCCCTCCTCCTCCTCCTCCTCCCCTTCCTCCTCCTCCTCCTCCTCCGCCTTTCTGCCCCCCTCCTGCCGCTCCTCCTGCTGCTTCGCGCGCACGCACGCGCGCGGGCGCGTGTGCACGGCGGTGGTGTCTCCTGGCCCAGCGAGCAGCGTGGGCGTTCCCCCGCGCCCCAGGGGGCAGAGCGCGCTGCACCTCGCCGCCCACAGCGGCTGCTTCGACGCCGTTGCGCAGCTCGTGGAGCCCCAGGGGGTCGTCGTCGTCGTCGTCGTCGTCGTCGTCGTCGTCGTCGTCGTCGTCGTCGTCGTCGTCGTCGTCGTCGTCGTCGTCGTCGTCGTCGTCGTCGTCCGTCGTCCGTCGTCCGTCGTCCGTCGTCCGTCGTCGTCGTCGTCGTCGTCGTCGTCGTCGTCCTCGTCGTCGGCGTCCGTCGTTCGTCGTCCGTCGTCGTCCGTCCTAGTCCGTCGTGTCGTTCGTCGTCGTCGTCGTCTCGTCAGTCGTCGTCTAGCGTCGTCGTCGTCGTCGCCTCGTCGTCTGTCGTCGTCGTCGTCGTCTGTCCGTTTTCGTCGTCCGTCGTCGTCGTCCGTCGTCGTCCGTCGTCGTCCTTCGTGTCGTCCCGTCGCCGTCGGCGTCGTCGTCCGTCGGTCCGTCGACGTCGTTCGTCGTCGTCGTCCGTCGTCTCGTCGTCATCTTCGTCGTCCCGGTCGTCCGTCGTTGTCCGTTGTCGTCGTCGTCGTCGTCGTTGTCCGTCGTCGTCGTCGTCGTCGTCCGTCGTCGTCCGTCGTCGTCGTCGTCGTCGTCATCGTCCGTCGTCGTCGTCGTCGTCGTCGTCGTTCGTCGTCGTCGTCGTCCGTCGTCGTCCGTCGTCGTCGTCGTCGCCGTCGTCCGTCGTCGTCCGTCGTCGTTGTCGTCGTCTTCGCCGTCGTCGTCGCCGCCGTCGTCGTCGTCGTCGTCGTCCGTCGTCGTCGTCGTCGTCGTCGTCGTCGTCAAGTCTCCTGAGCTGTCCCCGAAGACACAGGGAACTGTTCGGAAGGCCCGAGGGCCTCTGAGAAGCCCCGCCGCCTTGGAGAAGGCCTCCTCCTTTTCGTTTTCCCCCCCCCCTGGGCGCGCCGCCGACGATCAGTCAGAAATTGGCCCCTGGATCCCTCCTGGGGTCCACCCGACCCCGTTTTCAACCCGGATCGAGCTCCGGAGGGCCCGGGGCCCGCAGATGGCCCCCAGAGGCCGAAAATTCGGCGAAGCGCCGCCTCGACCCTCGCAGCTCGAACCTCGAAGATTCGAGCCCCGCGGGGCTCCCCTTGGCTCTCCCGGGGGGGGGGGGGCAGGCGCCTGCCGGGCAGGGCCCGGCCTTAAGGGGGCCCTGCGGCATTGGCTCCCGCGAGAGCGGGGCGCACGAAGGGGGCCGCGCCCCATGCTCCCTGGGCGGGCGGCGCTCTGGGGGGGGCTGCGGGGCCGAGGCCGAGGCGCCTTCCACGTGAGGCCGTGCTCCCGTGGAGGAGCGGCAGACGTTGCCGCGCCATGCGTGAAGCAGTAGCGAAGCGTCCCGGCTCGCCTATAGCCCCACCAAACAATGTTCTAAAAACCTTTTGTGGCTCCCACGGAAGGTTCTTAGAACATTTCTGGCTGGGGCTGTCTTCTTTTAAGACATCGGGATTATGTTCTAAGAACATGTTTTGTGATTAGACCATGTTTGGGTTCTTCGAACACTCCGTGGTATGACTATAGGA